AAAAAAAAAAAAAAAAAAAAAAAGAGCTGGAGATGCAGCATTCAATCCTGAGTATAAAAAAATAAGTCTTATCTTGCCTTAAATTTCTCTGCTCTGATCTTGAATGACTCAAAGAAAGATGTAGCAGAGCTACTAATGTTAGCAGGTAGGAAGTTGCAGCTGGATGAGGAAGTCAGGCCAAGGTGGAGAGAGTTTATCTTGTAGTTGAAGGTACAGCTGTGACTCATCTGTGATTTGGCCAGCTTCTGCAGCTACTGGAAGCCTTGGGCTGTGGAAGAACTTTAATGATGCTCATATCCCTTCTTGCTGCAGAGTGAGGTTCTGGTGTCATAGAGCTGGTGTGTTGTGGGGGGTTCACATCTCTGCGGTCTTTCCCCATTCTCGTGTCTCAGCATTTGATTCCTATCCTGAAAGGTCAGCGAGAGCAGCTGTCTGCAGAGCTGCCTTCTGGTTTACGTTGCTGTGGTAGGGAATTAACAGGAAGAAGCGTGGAAGGGTTTAGAGAGCCCTGGGTTCTAGGCTGGCTCTGCCTGTAGCTGGCTCTGTGAGCTTGGAGAAGTCATGCTTCCTCTCTGAGCTGAACGTCACGTCTCCTATTATAGATGGCATCATGGTATGACGCTGTTTTTCTTTCCTGATTTTGAAAGCCAAAAGTTACTTTAATGGATTTGCTTCATCTCTCGAGCACTCTGGTACTGCTGGGAGTGAGGTGGTCCCAGGCTTACTGCTGTTTGCCTGGTCTGCCTGCGTGGGTCTGATGGACTGATCTGGGGCAGGGAGAGGAGGTGGGGGGCACTCTGGGCTGTAGAGATGTGGATCATTTTGGAAAGGGTAAGGGCCAGGGATTTCAGGAGCAGGCTGTTAAGATGTGCTTGCAGTCTTCTTCTCTCATCCTTGCTTTCCCACTCCCAGTTCATCATTAATTTCCCCAGACTGAGATACTGCCTTTGGAGGGCTCTCGTCATCCCTTCCCTATCACATGCAGCCTTATTTCCTGAACAGAGAGGGTAATGGTGTAGGGAAAGAGTCTTTCCAGTTGTGCATGCTCTCTCCCGGGCATCCTCGTTGAGCCTGCTTGAGCCTCCTGCATCCCTGGAGGGGGCCCTGTGGGTGTCAGTGGGGTGTGCCCTACATCTGTCTTCAAGAACCAACCAATAGGTCAAGATCATTTCCTTTCCTTAGTTGCCTCTTCAAATTCTAGTGGTTGTCAGTGGGGTGTGCCCCACATCTGTCTTCCAGAACAATAGGTCAAGATCATTTCCTTTCCTTAGTTGACTCTCCAAATTCTAATTTAGTGGTTGCTGGAATTCAGATTATAGATAATTCTTTAGTTGTGACATTATTGTAGTGATTCCATACAAGTAGATAGCGCTGCTCTGGATACAGTGGCACAAAGTAGAAATGTGTAATAGATGGCAATGGCTTTAACTCTTGGCTTTACCACTTAATATGTCTCAGAACAAATTCTTGGTCCCTTCCTGTCTCTATCCCCTAGTGCAAACTCTCCTCCCTCAGATATCCCCGTCACTATGCATGGTCACTCCATTCTTCAAATCTCTGAGGCCCCAAACCGATGAACCATTTTGTATCCCACATCGCATCCATCAGCAGACTTTGACAGCAGTGCCTTTGAAAATCCCCAAACCTAACTTTTCCCGTGGCCTTCATTCCTACCACAGTTGTCTGTGTACTTGCCACCTTGCACATAAACTATTAAGTAACCTCCCAGGGTGACCTCCCTTCTTGACCTGCTGTAGGCTGTCCACCAGCTAGAGGGATCTTTTTACTACATAAGACAGATTATATCACTCTTCTTTGCAAAACCCCAGAGACTTCTCATCTCATTCTGTGTAAAAGCCAAAATCACTACCATGGCCTTCAAGACCATCTGCATCCACTGTGCCCTCAGCTCGTGGCCTCCCCTCTAGCTGCTTGACCTGCTCTGTGCAGATACCCTGGCCTCCTGCTGTTCTCTGCGTAGATGATGCGGGACCTGTGGACTTGCTGCTCCTTCTGCCTGGAATGAATTTCTCTGAAATGGCTCATGGCCAGCTGCTTCATTTCGTTTGGGTCTTTGTTCAAATGGTACTCCTTCAGTGCGAGAGATCTTTCCTGAATTCCTTGCCTAAAGTCATTTTCTTTGTCTTTTTGGTGCTAGGGATTGAATCTAGGGTGCCAAGCACATGCTCCATCACTGAGTTATGCCTCTAGCTAGCCCTTACTCATCACTGTGTCATCTCTACCTTGTCATATCTGTCCTCGTAATATTACACTGCTTGTTTAGTGCTTATCTCCTCCCAAGAGAATGTAAACTCCAGGAGAGTCTTTGGTTATTGGTTATATTAGTTCCCAAAGAGTGTGCTAACAATGTACCAAAACCTGGGTATCTTTAGACCATAGACATTTTTGTTCACAGCTGTGGAGATTAAATTTCTGTTATCAAGGTGCCTCCAGGGTGTCCTCCAATAGCTGGAGGGTGTTTCTTGATTCAGCATAGGTACATCAAACCACAAGGCCATCCTCTCCTTTTGTGTCTTTATATCTTTGTCCTGCTGTGCATGTTTGTCTCTGTGTCCAAATATCTTCCTTTTACAAGGATGGCATTCATGTTGGATTGGTCCATTTTAACTTCATTATCTCTGTAAAGACTATTTCTAAATAAGGTCAGATTTGGAGCTATGGGGAAATAGCACTGAACATGTTTTTTTTTTTTTTTTTTTGGGGGGGGACACAGTTCAACCCATGACACTATTAAATCCCCAGTGCTAAGTAGGCATTCAGTGACTGTGGAGCAAGACAGTGACTCCTAATTACTAGCTGAGTGATCTTAAGCAGATTATCTAATGTTTCTCAGTCTGGCATGTAATTTCTGGTCTAAAAATGGTATCCTTTATTGATTTTTCTAAACCAGTATATAGGAAATCTGATTTGTATTTTGTATGGAATTTCATAAAATATAAAAAGCTCCAAGACACTTAATATATTGTCAATATATGGCAGTTGATTTACTAATGAAATATTCACTGCCTTTGGTGATGGAACATAGTTCATCTTCACATACAAGTAAAACACTGTGCTTGAGCAGGGTATGGGTGAGAAATGTGCACTAAAGCTGATGTTACAGTAGGGGACCACGTGAAGTTGTGCCTTCTCTCTGGAGAGCCTTTGAGCAAGAGACCAAGAGCAGCCTGGGGAGGAAGGAAAATGTTTAGGTGTTTGAGAGTGAGAAGTTGTGTATTTTGTCAAGAGGGTGCATGATCTGAATGCAGGGATGATTGGGTGGAATGCCTCGGCTTCGTTCTGTGTGGCGTATCTATCAGCAGTTTCATCAGGGAGTCCTTTCTCCAAGGCCAAATGTCCACCTGTCAATGGATGATAGACCCCCTTGCTTTGTGCAGATGACTGAAAGGGGCTGCCCAGGTAAACTAGATCCTGAAGCAGCTGTGACCAAGATGGCCAAATGGTTTGCCTAATTTTTTTCTTGTATGTTTTTATGAAGAAATCGATGGTCCAACCAATGTAGTCACTAATCAGGTGACAGAAGACACAGCAGTAGTGTCCTGGGACCCAGTGAAGGCTGACATAGACAAATACGTGGTGCGCTACATCTCCCCTGATGGAGAGACGAAAGAGACAGTGGTACCCAAGGACCAGAGCACCACCACCCTGACTGGCCTGAAGCCAGGAGAAGCATATAAAGTCTACGTGTGGGCTGAGCGGGGCACCCAGGGAAGCAAGAAAGCGGACACCAAGGCCCTCACAGGTAATGGAAGAATGGAAGCATGAGAGGTTTCTTCGGGGAAAGGAGAAGATCGATTTTTGAATTTGAAGGCATTGTGCTTAACATCAGCTCTTTTGCTTGTAGGAATGGGGGAAATTTGCAAAGGCAAACTTCAGTTTCATAATTATGATTTTTTCCCTTGTTTTTCTCATCTAAAACTGAAGAGACTAGACTTTTTGTTTGAAACAGGTCATACTTGTTTGGGCTGGAATTCCATATGCGGCTCTTTCAGAGTAGAGCAACACTTTCTCATTTTCATTTTTAGAATGTGAAAACTCAAAGCAGCAGACTGGCAGTGAATTTGAATATGTATCTAAGTTTGCAGTGGCCTAGAGGCACTTTGCATATAATCTGGAGCTCTTTTTCAGACCGTGGGAATAGTTTGCATCTTCTTAGTCAGTGGTCACCAAATGTATTGAATTTTCCTTTACATTTGCAGAAACATATTCCCTCCATTCATTCTGCTCAGCCTGTGTCTGCAGGTATCACAGCCCAGCCATTCTTTCTGCTTAAACTTCCCATGGTGCTTCCCTGAATTCAGAGTATCCTGTTCTTGGCGCCCACTTGAGGTTCCAGAACACTTCATAGGAAAGCAGAGGGAAGGATTCATTTATTATCTAGACACCTAATATACCGAGAAGCAGGTACATAGTAAAGAATATGGTTTTAGAAGCCTGGCTGCCCACATTTGAATCCCAGTTCTGCCATTTGCTAGCTGAGTAGCTTTGGGCAGCTTACTTCACTTCCATTCTTCGGTTTCTTGTGTAAAGGCACAAGTGTCTCTATATCAGAGGGCTTTGGGGAGAGTTACATGAGTTGATTCGTATAAAGTCCCGGACACACAGCAAGTGTGATAGCAATGATTATTTCTTAGAATGGCAGTCAGCATTTGGCCCTTGGAGTATTTTGTGCGCAGCCTCCTGAGTTGCAGTGGGCTTCAGGGAGTTGGTCTCTTCTCCAGGCAAGAAGAGAATTTAACAGTGAGAATAATGAGACCTAAATTTGTTCAAAAATTTTTTTTCTGTAAAGGATTAGAGAGTAAACATTTTTAGCTCTGGGGATCAAAAAGCTTGGGTTGCAGCTACTCAGCTCTGCCAGGGAAGCATGAAAATAGCCACAGACAGTAAATAGCATGTACATGAGGAGTAGATTCCAATAAAACTTTATTTATAGAGGTCCAAAGTATTGGGTAATTTACACTAAGTGAGGCCTTGTCTCAGTCAATGAACGAATGATCCGCGACCTGCAGTGATTCACATTTGCCCAGGGGACTACAGAGTGCCACCTTCTGGCAAACATTGTGTACAATTCTCTGTTTATTAGGGTTTTTTTTTTTTTCTGTTTTTTGTTTGTTTTTTAGCATTGTGAAAAGAAAAGAGCATATGGATCAGAATTTCGAAGACAGTGGTTGTATTAGAGAACCTTCCCACCATTAGGGATGTGGTACTGCTGCTGCAGGAGGGGTTTGGGAGTGGAGCTGGCCTCTGGGGGAACAAAGATAAGAAACATAGTTCTCACCAGTGTTGTTATATTGTTCTCAATCCTCTGGGTCAAGAAGACTAGTGAAAAAATACGAAGTTTGTGGAGTTATATTTTAAAGGAAACAAGTTGTCATGCACTAGCATTTGAAGTGCTGCTTCTCATATTGAAGATCCGTATCTTCTGGTTGGATGGCACTGAACAGTGTTTTCACTTTTTTAAAAAAAATCACACCTCATATTAGAGCAAATCTAGATTTATTGAAATATAATTGTTTTCGGGTCCAAGGAGTTAGGAAGTGAATGAAAGTAAGTTATGTAAATGGTGGGTAAAGGAGAAATTTTTACGTGAAGATCAATTGTTTTTAATCCAAAAGCAATTTGTAAACTAGGAAAGGTTTAAAGAGTTTCTATATGTTGGCTTAGTCTAAAAACTAATTCTTATTAAATGCTAATAGCCCATTCTTGGAATTTCTGACCTTTGCTTAATTAAACCCATAATTCATCTCAATCATTGGCATATAGCAGACTGAAATTTATTGAGGTTAGCTGTATCTGTGCTGGCTTTTTAGGAACTCAAGGTTGGTAAAAGCTACCCTCTTTTTTTGTATCTTCCTTAAAGAAATTGATAGCCCAGAAAACCTGGTAACCGATCGGGTAACAGAAAATACACTCACTGTCTCCTGGGACCCAGTGGAGGCTGAAATTGACAGGTATGTGGTAAGCTATACGTCTGCCGATGGAGAGACCAGGGAGATTCCAGTGCCCAAGGAGAGGACCAGCACTGACCTGATCGGCCTGAGCCCCGGTGTGGAGTACAAAGTCTACGTGTGGGCCCAGAAGGGGGACCGGGAGAGCAAGAAGGCCAACACTAAGGCACCCACAGGTAACTAGAGAGAGCTGGTCAGTTGGAATTGCAATTTGAACCTGTGGATTGAAATATACATGGTACAGAAGGTTTAGCCTGAGATAAGAGATTCTGCAATTAGAATCTTTTAAGATGCAAGGCTGGCGGGCAGTGAGCTTGAGATATGTTCTCTGTGTAATGTTTTTAGCATATCCAGCCAAGACATTTCTGGTCATTCTGGGTTCTGGTCATTGCAGTGTTTGTGATAGTACTTTTGAAGTACTCACCAGTGAAGTAGCCCTTGATAAAATGATAAATTAGGTAACCTGATGTCATGTCAGATATTTAATGGGCAGTCTTGATAAACCATATGCTACTAAGAAGACATTGTCCCTTCCACATTTTAGGGAGCTGAAAGCCAAGAAAGAGTACCAAGTTTGTAATGATTCCTCTTTTGAAATTGAGAACCAGGGGCTACTTTTTCCTTTGACTCCTATAAGAGACCCAGGGTGGGAAGCCCTTTGCTTTGTTCTGAGAAATCTAGAAGATGAAAATCAGGATGATGGGTTGGTGGGTGTGCCTTTCATAACTTCCGAGCTAAGACTTTTTCCAACATATTTCTTTCAGACATTGACAGTCCTAAAAATCTGGTCACTGACAAGGTGACAGAAAATATGGTCACTGTCTCCTGGGACCCTGTGCAGGCCCCCATTGATAGGTATGTGGTGAGCTATACTTCTGCTGATGGAGAGACCAAGGAGATTCCAGTAGGGAAGGAACAGAGGAGCACTGTCCTGAGAGGCCTGAAGCCAGGGATGGAGTATGAATTTCACGTGTGGGCCCAGAAGGGAACCCAGGAGAGCAGGAAGGCTGACACCAAGGCCCCTACAGGTAATGGAGCCTGTGTTATCAATGCGTCATTGTTAAACTCGTGGTCTGGCTGGGTTGGTTTTCCTTCTTGTCAGGCAGGGAGATTTCATGGATTAGGGATTGGTATCTCTCCATAATAAATTATGTACCTCTCACTTCCTTTATGACTTCTCTTAGAGTATGTCTCATAGTGTGGTCTCCAAACCTTGACCTTTAAAGATTGATGGTTTTGCTCTTGGTCTCTTGTTCTTCTTTGCCTCTTTGCTATTAAAACAATAAATTCTTAGAAATAAAGAATGAATTGTTTAGAATAATAAATTTTTAGAATAAATATGAAGAAAGCATAAGCAGTTGTCATGCTGAGAAAGCCAGACTTGAGGGTAAAATTTTTCACCTGTTTAAACCCTTTCCATGAAGTTTGCCTTCTTTTTACCTTTTGAATTAATGCTTTTAGGCAAAAATCACTTCAGTGTTATTTGTTAGCTAAAAGCAAGCAAATATAGCCCCCCACAAGTGTCTACTTCTTTTTATAATGTCTGTTTCCATGTAATAGTCCATCCTTCATCTACAGTTGGCCATTTGCCTGCTGAATGCCTGCTGTGAGAGGAGGGACGGCTCAGCTTGTCTTATGTTTTCCTGCTTCTACTTTGAGCACTGTGCTTCCAGTTTGTGAAATACAGTTTCTGACCCATTTGTGTTTGGCACAGCTGGGAGATGTAAGCTGAGGAGAGATCAAAGGTCAGGAAGAATAGATGTGAGCATGTGGAAGAGGAGGAGAAGCCAAGGTTTGGAAGGAGGGTGTTGAGGAATCGTACTAGTCGACTTTCCCATTGCTGGGACAAACTACCTGACACTTGTAACTGAAAGGAAGAAAGGTTTATTTTGGCTTTCAGTTTCAGAGATTTAAGTCCATAGTTGGCTGGTTCTGAAGTAAAGCTGCATGGTGGATGGAGGAGGAAAGCTGTTCCTGCATGGCAGCCAGGGTGCAGAGAGTTAGGAAGGGCCAGAGCCAAGATTACACTTTTCCAGGTCGTCCCCCAGGGATCTGTCCATTCTGACCAGGCCTCGCTTCTAAACATGATACTTTTGGGGATCACTTTATATGTAAGTCATAGCATTCCACCCTGGCCCCCCAAAAGCTCGTTCCATCTCATTATATAAAATGCATTTATTCCATCTCTAAAAGTTACCAAAGTCTTCATAGTTTCAGCATTGCTGAAAAGTCTGAGTCTTTTCTGAGACTTAAGGCAAACTCTTAGCTGTGATTACCAGTATGAGATAAAAAAGAAAGTTAAACTCTTCCAGCATACAGTGGCACAAGGTAAACTTTCCCATTCCAAAGATGAGGAATAGGGGAAATAAAATAGAATCAAACCAAAGCAAGAAATAAACCAAGCAAGGCAGACAGTAAGTCCTGCTGCTTCATGGTCAGCACCTGGAGCAAACTGGGGTAAGGTGTGATCCAAAGGGCTAGGGCAGCCCTGTCCTAAGGCCTTGCTGATTGCAGCCCACATGGCCTCTCCCTTGGCCTGGCTCTGCTCACTGCATTCAACTTTCCTCAGCAGATGATTCATGTTCCTGACGTTTCCACCATCTTGCAGTTCCCATTGCACCTTCAGTGGCACTGTCATAGCTTCGCATGTTACCTTTCTGGAGATGCACTGGCTGGCCTCTCAACCCTTCCTTTGAAATCTGGGTGGAAACTTCCATGATCCCACAACCCTTGCATTCAGCATGCCTGGAAAACCAAAAGCACATGCATGATGCCAAAGTCTGCTGGCAGTTTAAGAAGTAATCTAGCCCCATTTGACCATGGCTGCTGCAGCCTGAGGGCTTAGATAGCTGAGTGTAGGGATACACTTCTTTAGGCAGCCCAGAGTGAGCAGAGCATCCTGGGGCTTTCTTCTCTGAACAAGGACTTTCAAAGGAGCTTGCCCTCTTACACCCTTGAGCGTTTAAGGATGAGCTCTGGCTAGTTACTGAGATGCCTTTAAGTCATCTTTCCTATTGTCCTAATAGAAAGTATTTTGCTTGTGTTTTTTAAAAAAACACGAGGGCCAGAGATTTAGCTCAGCGGTTCAGTGACCTGCCTTGCAAGTGCAAAGACCTGAGTTCAATCCCCGGTACCAAAAAAAAAAACCACGAAACTTTATTGGGCTGGGGATTTAGTTTAGTGGTTCCATTGCCTGCCTTGCAAGTACAAGGACCCAAGTTTGATCCCTGGGACCAAAAAACAAACAAAACTTTATTTTAAAATTTTGGTTACAGTTTCATTTTTTTAAAGCAAGTCTATTGCTTAATCTCTCAGGATTAAAAAAAGATTCTGAGGAATTAAACAATAAAGGAATGTCAAAGGAAGGGCACAGCTGCCCCACTGTCAGGTATAATCACTAATAATAACAGTTCATAGTCACTAGTCAGTGCTAAGAACAGTCACAAGAGATATACTATTAGCTCATAGAGTACAACAATTCTCAAAGATATGAAGGAACAATATCTCATCCTACACCCTTTATTTTTTCCCCTTGGAAGAAATTGATGCAAAGAGGCTAGTTTACCCTTGTTTACAGTTTGAATTATGAAGTGAATATTCTATGGCTTCAGAACTGTGAATGCTGTAATACTTTAACATTTTCAAAGCCCCTTTTCCATGTGACATTTTAAAATCTTGATTTCCAGAGATAACTAAGAGCTAAATATAATAACTATTAAGCACTCCACTTTACAAATATAGAAGTAAACCGAAGCAGTTTGCCCTAGATCATAAAAATAAATCAGTAATTTATGAAAATAGATACATGCTTGGAATATTAGTGTAGAATCAACCTAAAAGTCCATTTAACTGCAGATTTTAGAAAGGAAGAAGCTGAGACACAGATAGAGGCAGTCTTATTGTCCAGGGCTGTATCTGGCTGGTGGCAGAGTTGGGATAAGACCCTTGGTCTGGTGGCTGTAGCTTGAGGTGCTTTCTGTCCCCAGGACCTGCCTCTTGGCCTAGATCTAGAACCCAGCTGCCCTAACCATAGATGTCATACTCCACTGCCCTGTGCTGCTTCCTTGAGATCCAAGAACCTAGCTGGGGAGATAAGGTCTATATCCATGAAACAACTAAAAATCAAGATATGAGACAAGATGAATCCAAGTGCAAGAAAATGTCTCAGCTCAAGCAAAATGGTCTTACTCTTTGGTGCCTGTTGATAGTTTATACTCATCAGCACTTTTCCTTTTAGACATTGACAGCCCCAAAAACCTGGTGACTGACCAGGTGACAGAAAACACTGCCACTGTCTCTTGGGACCCAGTAGAGGCCGACATTGATAGGTATGTGGTGCGCTACACCTCTGCCGATGGACAGACGAGGGAGATTCCTGTGAGGAAAGAGCAGAGGAGGGCCGTCCTGACAGGCCTGAGGCCAGGTGTGGAGTATAAGGTGGATGTGTGGGCCCAGAAGGGGACCCGGGAGAGCAGGAAGGCCAACACCAAGGCTCCCACAGGTAATGGACATTGTTTTTTTGGGAATGTGACACCTTTTATGCTAAGGCTATAGGAGCTCAAGTTTGGTATTTCTTCTGTGACATTGGTAGAAATCAATGGGTTGTAGACCTTGGTCATGATAATCACACCACATCCCTCAATACCCTTTAACACATCATCCCAAATTGTGGATTCTAAAAGTTATCTTATAATTATCTTATACAAATTATCAGTGATCTATTATTCCCTGTTCCTCCAATTGTATATTTCCTTTGTGGTCAACCTCAAAATATTTCTTTTTGAAAGGGAACATATGTAAAGAAACCACATACATAAGGATCTGTGACCTACCTGGTTTGGGAAATGTCTTATGCTGTGATCTCTTTGGAAAAAGAAAGAGTGATTGCTCTCTGAAGGAGCGAGTCCTTTTCTCAGTTCTGTAGATTTCTCTCTCTGAGGATCCTATGGTTGCAGTGATATTCAGTAACAGCTTACAATTTTAAAGCTTTTTCATTTCTATTCCTCAGTTGTTTTTTTGTTTTGTTTTGTTTTGCAGTCCAGGGATTGAACTCAGGACCTTGCTAGGCAGGCATGGGGCCACTGAGCTAAATCCCTGGCCCATCTATTCCTTTGTCATTGAAAACAACCTTGAGATGTTTTTATACACTTAAAAATCACCCTCTTTAAATGTAAAATTCAGTGTATATTATCCCAGTTCTACAGCTATTACCATTGTAGATTTCAGAGCATTTTCATCATCCAGAGGAATCTCATATCCATTACTAGTCATTCCTCACCTGCACGCCTTCCAGCCAGTAACAACTGCCCTCTGTTTCTATAAATTTCTCCATTCAGAACATTTCGAATGTATGGATTCATACAAGATGTGGCCTTTTGTGACTGGTTTCTTTCATGAAGCGTAGTATTTTCTTGGTTCATCCATGTTTTAGCACGTATCTGTATTTAATTTTATTGTGAATTAATATTTCATTGTATGGATATTTACATCCATTCAAGAGTTATTGGACATGTGAAGTGTTTCAGAAGACTTTGTTGAATTGGTGGAACAGGAATGAGTATTACTGTTTTGCAGTTGAGAATCCTCAAATATGGTGAAGTGCATGGTTTCCCAAAATTACGTAGTTAGCTGATGATTAATGGAGTTAGATCCATGAAATATTATGGTGTATCTAATTCTATTCAGTCTAAGGCCATGTACACAGATGGGAAGACAGGTTCTGTCAGAACCAGCCAAGTTGTCTAAGGCTGGAGGCAGAGTTGGGGTAAGATCTTTGGTCTGTTGGCTGAGGGCCAGTTATCTTGGGCTTAGAGCTCAGTCTAGCTGTGGATGTGATGCTCAGCCAGAATGTGATCCTGGCCTGCCTCCTGGAGGATTTAAGCTTCTGCTTTAAAGACAAAGTCTGTGTCCTTGAAGCAACTGAAAACCAACGTGTAAGAGGCAAAAACTTTAAGTGCAGGAAACTGTCTCAGTAACAGCAAAATAGCCTCACTCTTGGAGCCTGTTAATAGTGTTTATTGATCAGTACTTTTTCTTGTAGACATTGACAGCCCCAAAAACCTGGTGACTGACCAGGTGACAGAGAACACTGCCACTGTCTCCTGGGACCCAGTAGAGGCCGACATTGACAGGTATGTGGTGCGCTACACCTCTGCCGACGGAGAGACCAGGGAATTTCTGGTGGGGAAGGACCAGAGCAGCACCATCCTGACAGGCCTGAGGCCAGGTGTGGAGTACGAGGTGGATGTGTGGGCCCAGAAGGGCACCCGGGAGAGCAGGAAGGCCAACTCCAAGGCCCCCACAGGTAATGGACGTTGTTCTGTGGGAATGTAACACCTGTCTTGCTAAGTCTGTGGAAGACTGAATTTGGTATTCCTTTTCTGAGATTGGAAGAAATGAGTGATTAGTAGAAGCCCAGGCTGTCGTACTACTCACACTAACCTTTGATACCTTTACTATGTGATAAGGACCTTGTATCAGACTCACTATTTAGTCTCCTCTGATTAATGGTGATTGGTAATCCCCATCCAGTGTTTCTCCAATTTCTTTTCCTTGTGGTCAGTCTCAATATTTCCCTCTAAATAGAAAAGTATCCATGTTGGGATCTGTGAACTGTATACTTTAGGGAGAGGTCTTTTGCTGGGATCTTTTTGGAGCAGGAAGGGGTTTTTGCTGTCTTTATGAATAATCCTCTTTTGAGTACTGTATGTTTACTCTGAGGATCCTGTGGTTGCCATGATATACAGTAACAGATCACAGTTTTAAAGGTTTTCATTTTTCTTTCCTCCTTTGTTAGGAAAAAGCTTTATTAAGATGTATCTGTACACAGTAAAACCCCTTCTTTTAAAGTTTGCAGGTCATTAGTTTTAGTGTAATTACAGAGTTGTTCAGTTTGATTACCAATCATTCCTCACCCCTGCTCCTTCTAGTCCTAAGTAACAAATTCTGTGTGTTACTACAGATTTCTCCATTCTGGACCAATATGGTTGTCCATTTCTGTACAATGCCAACTCAACACAGTAAATTGGGATGACTTTTTATCTCCATTCTGGCAATATGGTTGTCCATTTCTGTACAATGCCAACTCAACACAGTAAATTGGGATGACTTTTTCCAAAGTTGGCAGCACCGTTAAAGTTTCCCAAAATTCAATTTATATATATGTGTGTGTGTATATACATACA